CCCCAAAACCCCAAAACCCCAAAACCCCTACTGGAAACAAAGGTTGAAAATAATTTATTAATAGCCAAAGATTCAACAGGGATGATCTCAAGAAGTCTATCTAAAGCTTTTAGTGGCAAATATTGAGCAATAAGAAGCCCTTTGTCCATGATCCAGAGAAGATATCTCCATTCACAGCAGGCTAAAGCAAAAGGTATCACTGAATCTATTGGATAGATGAATAATATTTAGAATCAGCACGGAAAATTCATGAAGAGGTTCTCGAGCCATGATTGACAGAGGAAGAGGAAATAGCAAAGAAAAATGACCCTGTTGAGCAATTGAAGAGAAGCCAAATAAATCGTGATAGTACAAACCAGCAGCTCCCAGGAGATGATAGGTCCTTTAAATCAGCATTCAAGCTTTATAGAATATTGTATATGATAGCTGGAGTTAGTCTTTATGCCTTAGTGTATCATGATTCAAAAGCTTTAGCTGAGTATAAGATCATTTTACATGGACTAAGAACAGAAGACCCTAAGTTTACAGGTGTGCTAGTCGGCAATGATAAATCTTATTATCTCAGACTTGAGGAAGGGCATGAAACTACTGTAGAAGACTTAGGAAAGAGATTTGAGAAAGAAATATCAAACCTATCTAAACTTCTCTCTAACCAGAAATACCAAGCATCAATATATCTCAGTTTAGGAATACCCCTAGCATCATTTACAGGTACAGATATCACTAATCTCTAGTCCACCTACTGCACATCTTCAAATACAGAGAATTCACAAAGGCAATCCCTTTAAAGATCCTCTGGATCCTAATTGCATGTTTCTGTACAAGTTGATACTCATCTTCTCATCTCCCAATCCTCGAGTCATTAAAAGGCAAGGATCTTAAGGAGCATATCCTTTCTAAGGTGGAACTCCTCCCTTACGACTCATACATGAATAACAGAGAGAAGTACGATAAGATGAGGGATCTTTTACGCATCATTAAGCAGCCTCAAGAGAAGGAAAAAGGAAGACCATTTTAGTCTCAATTTCTCACTAAAATCCTGGGGTTTTGGGGTTTTGGGGTTTTGGGG